ATTCGGCATGGTTAGCTACTTTCTTGGTTGTTAGTACACTAGATAGCAGACTTACCCGAGGTAGCTGTGGCGGTCAAACAGTCGTATATAACAACAGTAGTAGTAGTAATCAACATAGGTTAGCAGCAGTGACGATATTAACTGCTGTTGTTGTTTTACTTGTTGGTGGAAATACAAAATTTTTTTGTTTGGTTTTCCGCTTTTCTACTGTTTTCGATTTTTTTTTTTTCCCCCTTGGTCGTAGTTGTCTTCAAGTTGTGTGTATATATCTGTTTGTGCTTGCCTGCGAACTGCAGGAAGACCTCAGCAATTATACGGTTCATTGATTTTTCATACATCTTTTTCCCGGCATTTTTTTTTTTTTTTCCGAAGGATTGTGAGGAAGAAGCTGAAAAACTGTTAATTAGTATCATACAGTTTGTGTCATGCGTTCGTACACGTAATCTTTTGCTTAAGTGCCGGATATTTACATGCATTTAATTTACATGCGTGGATAGTTTTAGGAGTAGAGATTTTATATTGCTTGGGAAACGTTATTTTTTATTCGCACAAATTACAGCTCAAGGCTCTTTTTTTATTTCACACATAGGTATATAGATTATTGGGATATATGTGCGTTAAGGTCGTAGTCGTGGTCGTCCTAGTAGTTAATAGCGGTGGTAACGTAATTGACGTCGTTGCCGTTGTTGTCCTTCTCAGTCCCGTCGTTTTCGTCAACATCTTCATCGTCGTCGTCGTCGTAGTCGTAGTCGCCACCATCTTCGTCATCATCATCATCACTGCCACCATTATCATAATCATCATCATCATCATCATCATCATCATCGTCATCCTTTGGCGCTCCAAAAAAATAATTTCGAGAGTTTTGTTTTTATTTTTATTTATTTATTTGCTTTTTTGTTTTTTTTCTGCGTTTTGTTTTTATTTGCTCACCAGTGGACGCTTGGGGACGCTTAGTTTTCTTTTATATTTGTTTAATTCTATTTTTATAGGGGATAGTTGTTTTGTCACTTCTCCCTGCCGCAACCTTCTTCCCGTTCCTGGTTTATTCCCTCACCACTTTCTCCTCATCTCTTACTCATGCCGTAAATAAGTCTTGGCTCGTCTTTGTCGTCATTTCAGCAGCGTTTTTTGGAAAAGTATTTATTGGTGCTGACCATGCTTAAAAATTTTTTTGCAAGGATCTTTTTTAGTTGATTAGTGTGGGAGGAAGAGGAAAGTAACGTATGCCTGTGTGTCTGTGTCTGCGTGTCTGTGTCTCTGTGAGTGTGTTTGTATATATGTGTTGATTGCGTCAACTAATTTACAAGTTTGCTAGTTCCCAACTCAGCCGAATGTATCGTCGTCATCATCACAGTTATTGCAGTGATGTTCATACTGATGAGAAATTACTGTTAGCTAGTAACGGAGGTTTATTTTTTTTTTTTGTTTTCCAAACACCAGTAGAAGGTTTTCGGGACTTTTTTTGCTTTTTTTAGTTGTCGTTATAGCTCGAAGTATTCACTGTTGGCATATTTTAATGTCTATAAAAAAAGAAGTTGCTTAAGAAGGCTATATATTGTCGAGAGAAGACGGAAATGACTTGGTCGTCGTTGTTGCTTTTAATTTTTTATCTGTTTGATATAAACTATCAAATTTTTACAGGAAAAAATCTGTATACTTTCGTTGAAGTTTTCATATGTTTTTTAATATTATAATAAATACTGTTTTTTTTTAATAATTTTTGTCTGTTGATTACATTTGGCATTTATTTCTTTTTTTTTTTTTTAGCAGCTTATTTTCTGCGTTAGAACAGAAATCGTCTTTTTTTCAGAAGCAGCCTTTTTTTAAAATTTTTTTTAGGTATTTTTTAGTTGATGAGGACGTCGTATAGGATTTTTGACTTATTATTCTGTATTGCAACATGCAGTTTTTTTTTTTAAGCCTTTTCCTTTATGGTTTATGACTGCTGATTTGTACCTTTGGAAATCGGATACGGAGAATGTTTCAACGGAGGAAAAAAAAATACAACACTTTCTCACAATTGTCTTTGATAACTGTCTCTTGCATAATCAGTACCTTAATGTTTGAGAGGCGATTGTTACAAGCGTATTTCTTCTCACTGATGATCTTTTTTCTGGTTCATAATATTGGTATTCGCCACTTTTTGTTGTTTAGTTTCTGCTTGTGTTAGCTGTTGAATGAACAGTCATTTGGTCGTAATCATCGAGCTTCAAACATTTGACTGTGCATATGATCGTTTAATCAGGTTAATTTACAGGCTACAATTGAAGACTCAATTATTATTATTATTATTTTTTTTTTGCTCTTCATTTTGGTTGCTCCTCTGGTCTCTTTTCTGGTGTCAAAGGATTTGGTATGCAGTCACTTTATATGTATCTACGAGTTTATGTAGATTGTTAGACTCATGGAAGAGCTTCTGTCAAAAGAAAGTTACTGGGCTGGAAATGTAAGGTCGTAAAACGTGTAATGTTTGTTTGTTTCTTGATTTGAATTTTTTCTTTTTTGCAGTCGTTATCGATCTTGTGGTTGAGGTCCAGCTTGTATACGACTGTGATTATTTTCTTCCTTTCTCATTTCTCATTACTTAAATATAGCAAGAACCTTCTTGAAGATCAATATTCGTCTTGATAAAGGAAAAGTCTTTACATGTATTTTTTTCCTTATTTCACTTATGGAAAAAAACTGGCTTCCAATGCATTTTGGCCGCCAGTTAACTTATTTCTGATTCTGCAAAGAGCATTAGGTTATAATTATCAGTATAGTATCAGAAAATGGGAAAAAATGAAAGCTGGAAGATGGAAAGGCTTTGGTGCTTTTTCAGACTGTTTTTTAATGGGAGCGTGGCGTCTGTCACTTGTTGCTAGAAGAATCTGGGAATTTTTGGCATGTTCAGGCGTTTTTAGTTACACTGTTGCTTACTTTTACTTCATGCGATGTTTCAGGAGTTAATCGAGAAATGAATTTTTTCTCTGTTTAAAGCTTTTTTATATAATTACATTTTCCAACATGTTGCACTGTGCTTCGCATTCTGTATAGATGCGGTAGATTGAACTAGAATTGTGTTCTGTTTTGAATTTATTTAAAGAATTCTGTTTTTTTTAAATTGTAGGTGTCTCATCGGTCTCCCGTTCAAGGAAGTTCCACTTAAATAGTTAGAAATTTGTGGATAATAAAATTTTCTCTGTTACGAATCTATTGAAAATGTTTGTTGTTAGTTGTAAGCGTAAATCCATCATTGTTTTTCCAGTGGGTTTTTCAGAAGCTGCATTTCTTTAACAGAAAAAAAGCCGTTCAGATCTTTGGCATAATTTATTTTTGTCATGTAAGAGTGTCCTTTGGTTCCTGTAATTGGTTAAAGAATTTATTTTGCTCTACAAGGATTCATCTGTGTGGTGTAAATTAGTATTTTTGTAAATTGATCGCGGTTCTCTGGTTTAACAGAAATTTTCTCAGCATGTTATGGAGCGTTTTTTTTTTTT